CGTTGTTTACGCTTGTAACTCCCCCACCGTGTGGTAAGTAAACATAGAATTCGTAAAAGTTCAATTTGTGTAAACTTATATAATTAATTTTATTCAATAATACATTTGATAATATAATGTATATATTATCAAGAAATCATATGAAAAAAAAAAAAAACTGGGCCTCAAGCAGGATTCGAACATCCGTTGCCCTCTCCAGGATAACCCGGCCGTCTAGACTCAATTAAATATATATATATATATATATATATATATATATATATATATATATATATATATATATATATATATATATATATATATATATATATATATATATATATATATATATATATATATATGCCTTGTTTGAGTACTCTTCTCAGCAAAAGGTACTAAATATTGAAGAAAAATGTAAATGTATATAAAGAGCTATATATAAATATTTCTTTATAAATATAATTTAAAAAAGATGATAATAAAAATTAAATATAAACTTATTCTTATAATATATATATATATATATATATATATATATATATATATATATATATGTATAAATGTATTAACAAGTACACATTTTATCCTTCACCGACAGCATGATTTCGCGATTCATGCACAACGCAGTGTTTAGGTGGTGTATATAGACTGACCGTTACGTAATATTGTAAAAAAATATCTGTTTATCGCAATGCAGGTGAAGTTATATATTATACCAGCATTACAGTTGTTTTTTTGTTTTTTTTTAATAAAAAAATATATATGTGTCATTTAAAATAATCGGGGTTTGTACATAAATGTAAAAATATTATAAAGCTGTGAATATTAACTTTTTATTTTGTATAGTATACATAAAGGGAGAATACATTTTCTTTTATAAAAAAAACAAAAATAACCCAAAAAACCGTAATTTACATTAAAAATGAATCTGGTTCAACGAATTTCAGCAGATATTAATTTTTATGCCTACATGTGACTATTATAAGTTTTGGCTCTCGCTATAATATTCCAAGTGATAAAAGGTGTATTAACATCATTCGACAATTGGCAGAAATATTTAGAGTGCAGTGCTGTTTTTGTATTTAATATTGCCTGAAATTATTCTATGATGGTAGAAACGAAATTTCCAAGGATATTTAGTGGAAACAAAATAAAATATATACCGTTACCGGAATGTATGTTGGCTCGGTATACAATATTATTAGGCATACATTGACGGTGTAATGGACAGATCATTTTTTTCGGAAGTTGCATTTACTTTTTAGAAACTTAACGTTATCTTTGTTGGAAATATATTTGTTTAATATAATGTTGTTATGTTGTGATATAAATTTATCGATATTATTAACGGAGCTATAGTTGATCTTAATATTATTTTCAAAATTTTTGAATGTTTAAAGTTCTTATAATCTAACTTGAACTAATGTATATCAATTATCTAGAATTTTAATAATTATGATTTTAATCTTTACTGGCGTATTTATTGTTACATAAATATTTGATATTAATAAAAAGTTAAAAAATAAAACCGTAACAACAATTTAACTTCAAATTCTTTTATTTGAACACAAAAATGTCTGTAAACAATTTTTACATTGGAATACTTCTTGGTAGACAATATCTCTATAAAAGGCAAGATGTGTGTGTGTGTGTGTGTGTGTGTGTGTGTGTGTGTGTGTGTGTGTGTGTGTGTGTGTGTGTGTGTGTAACGAATGCACGGCCGCAATTTTCGGCGGATTTGCACCAAAATTTACATGTACATGCTTCAAGTTAGCGGGAAGGCCAAAACTGACTTTGCATTTCTCAACTCCTATCGATTTTGGAAATAATCGATTTTTTCATGCTTCTACGGCAGTTTTCATGTAGTTTGCGGCCATTTTCTACTGGCCAGAGTGAAAGCCTATAGCTGGCTGCCACGATTAGGCAAGAAGATTCTATTGGCCAGCGTTAGAGCCAACATCTGACTGACATGAATGTTAACTAGCATGCTGGCATGCAAAAAAATAATCGATAGCTGCATTCGTCAAAAGTGGGAAAAATTAAATCTGCATGGCACTTTACTCCAATTGACTCATTCGCTTGCTTAAACTCAACGTTGATTCTGATTCCGCAGAACTGGGTAGGGTGTGAAAAAGTATTTGTTATTAACATTCTTTTTTCATTAGGTTTTTCCAGTTACGAGTCCATTTTTTTTTAAAGCTGATCGTTTTGTGTTCATTTTGTTTAGTTCTTTTTTCATAACAGATTTAATGTTTAGTATAGAGCTTAGAAAAAATTCGCAGTGTGATATAAGCAAGAAGTAAGGCATGTAGCAACATTCACCCGGCAAAGAGCACTCCTTTAAAGGCAAGAAGGGCAAAAATATTTTAATTCAAGTGATAGCGATTGCTGTATGAGTCGTACGATTTTTGAATCAAGGACGGGCAACGCCGGGCCATGCTGCTAGTTCTTTATATTTCTATTGTGGAGAATAAACAATCAAATTCGTTTTGGTTCCACACGCGAACAACCGACATAAAACTGCCATGACAGAAACAGAAATCTTCTAACACTAGTGGCTCATAGTGTCTGACTTTGTGCTTTGTTAATAGATATAGCAAAACTTACTCATATTAGAAACTGAAGTCTCTTGAACGTGAATTGAATGTCCGACCCTGATAGAATAAGGAGAATCCTGGGAATAAAGACATCTTTTACCTTTTCCATACATAGTAAGAAACGATGCTTCAATTAACAAATTCTTAACCCGCAGTTTGGTACCATTACAAAGTCTTGGTTGGTCTAAATTACTTAATAGCATTGTAGGCACCAACGTCTTGAATTTCAGTCTATGTGATGGTAGTGCGGGTGGTTCTAGAGAATTCAGAAATTCCGTTGTTCTTTATCTGGGATGATATCCACTGACCTGTAGATATGAGATATTTCCGGGAGGGGCTCTAACAGTTGGTCATTAATTCTGCCAACTTCTTTGTCTTTTGGAGTAAGAATTGCCCAGTCGCATAACACATTGCAGTTTTTGCAATTATGTTGGAGGTTTGCGAAAACCTTGGTCTTAACCTCATCAGCAATACTGTCGACATCTCCTACTTAGTGAATGGTCAGCTTTCCATTGTCATCAAAAGGTACGTTGCCATTCGCAAGCCTTAAAATGTTGCAGGAGAACTGAGCTGACAGGTGATCTCCAAATAATTGTGCTCTCGTGTTGTTGCTCAGAGACAATGTTCGAATATGTCGCCACAACGTAGATTTTAGGTATGTTCTGACTTTATCAGCTCTGGTCCCTTTTGGTATGACCGGCAGTGTCGGTTTAAATTCTCCAGATAATAGAAGTCTTATACCTCCGAGTGAAGACTGATAATACCTAATGTCTCGCATAGTTAGGTCCAATGCTTCTAGATGAGTCCTGTGCACCATAGTGTATTCCCAATCGATGAACTTTTTAGCACTTTGGCCAATTCAGAGGTTTTTTTTTTTTTTGACGCCGCAAATTGGATTATCGGATGATGTCAAGTCCAATGGAAGCTTAAAAGTTGAATGTGCAGTTCGGCCATCAGGCAGCAAAGTTGCAACAATGCCAGAAGTAACCACAACCAAAGACATGTCCTTGCCTTGTCGAACATTGAGCAAAAGCAGCTTAGTAACAAATGACTTTCCTGTCCCTCTAGGAGCATCTAGGAAGAAAAATTCACTTTTGGGAAAATGGACAATGTCAACAACAATGTTATAACATCTCATTCTCTCTAGTAGTAACTTTCGCTTATTTTCATCAACATACGCACACAGGGCACTGATATCATAGGATGTTTATCTTAAGACACTTGTGGGTCAGGTACTCGGATCAAAGATACTGTCACTTACAGCTGCTTGATTATCCGACGAGGGTCTTTTAAGGAGACACTTTGTCGCCCCTACTGTTTTGTCTGTCCTTAATCCCCCTTTTGCATGCACTTAACATTCATGACTATGGATATAAATTAAAAAAGAAAGTATTTAATCTATTTTACATGGATAATATCAAACGCTTTGCCAAAGTCGACATTGAATTAAAGCGTATCTTCAATACTGAAAAATGTTTCAATGATGACATCGGTATGGATTTCGGATTAGATACATGTGCCAAATTAACATTTAAGAAAGGTAGAAACACTCAATAGATCTAGGTTTTGTCAAAGATTAGCGAACTGGATCAAATAGAAGTCGAGAAATAGCTACGTGCCAATGAAGGAGTTGGAAAAGAGTATTCTCAAGTGAAGGAGTAAGTAGGAAAAGAATACTACAGTGTGTGTCTCGTGTTAAATTCCGACTTGAATTCACAAAACAGAATATCAGTCATAAACACCTTGTGGAGCAATACGGTTTCAACATCCTTTATTGGGGTGAATGGATATTAAAACGAGAAAGCTTCTTCCTTACCACCGTATCATAATCTGATGATCGTCTGTGTGTGTCCAGATCCGTATGAGGCAGAGGATTAGTTCAACTAGAACTGTTTACAATACAACAACAATCAGTCTTGGAAGGCCTGTTGGCTATAGAAGACTATTTGTTGATCTGTGTAATTAGGATGCTAACTAATTTAAAATGAATTTAAAGTGGGTAAAGAAGTGTAAGTAAATTATAATACACCAACTGCAGAGGCAAAGAAGCTAAAACGTAAGCAACAGCATAGGTAATGTACCAAATGCAGAAACGATGGCAAAATAAGACTGTAACAACAAGATGATGTAAACAAGACTCGTAGGGCAGGTCTCAAAGCTAAAACCGAAGGTTTTATTCTTGCTGCACAGGACCAATACTTGCTAAGTTGATATTATCATGCACGTATTTTGAAAAATGGTGTCAACCCAAAATGCAGATTCTTTGATAAATATCCAGAAACAATTGGCCATCTAGTAACAGGTTGCACGGTGTTAGAACCCACTTAGAATATAAAACTTGGTATGTAAATTGGGCCAATATCTGCACTGCAAAATGAAAACTAATCGGCCATTGTGATTAAAACCACAAAAAGGATTAATGTAATGGTAGTGCGGGTGGTTTTAGAGAATTCAGAAATTCCGTTGTTCTTTATCTGGGATGATATCCACTGACAGATTGTAATATGCAGATTGTAATGTATTGCCAAATATCTTTAAATAGCGATCAAAAAACAAGGAACTTTATGTGAAAATGAAAAAAATGTGGTATCACTATATCCAGTTGTCGTTGAAACCCTCGGATTGATTGAAAAAGGTACCGATAAACTCATTGAAGTGATTCTTGGTGGCCCATGCCTTAAAGAAATACAAATCTTATACTCACAGATACAGCTGACATATTGCGAAGAGCTTTATCGATGTAAAATGTGCGTGATCTTATTTGTTTTTTTGTTTTTTTTGGGGGGTGTACAAAAATGATCGTTGGAAATGTCATGAAGCCATATCTGATTGGGACCCGGAAGTTAATGGGAACACAACATAAATGAATAGAAATAATAATAATAATAATAATAACAATAACAATAATGCCTATTTTTATACCTAAGACTATATAATTTAACAGATATCGTCCTTTTCACGCTTGTCCCTGGTCATTTTAGCAGGATTGGAGGTTTATCCGTTGTTTCCTGTTAAGGTTGGATATTCAGTTCCTTCTAAAATCTATTCAACTCTAACGGCTTCGCCTAAACTCTGAAAATTTTATTCACATTTTTTTTCCTTTTCTCTCAATAGGCGTATTTTCGCCTATCGTCCGATTCGCATACCTATTCGATATTTTGAACAGGTGTAGGGTTTATCTTTGGTTCCCGTTTAGGATTCGATTTCTGAGTCATTCTAAACACTTTATCATCCTCTTCGAACTCAGGGCGGCCACTTGCGGCATAATGTCGTCATCGCTTTGCTTGGCCTGAATAGGCTAATGATGACGATATTCCCACCAACGCATAATGATTAATTCGGTCGAGCACTGTAGGGAGAAAAGCGCGAATTTGTAAACAGTGACGATTACTACTGATAATGCAAGACTTTCTGGCCGGATTGATAACGAGGTCACAGGCGTGTTTATAAATAAATACGCAAGAATTCGCCTTCCCCTCTGCCGGGCTCCGATAGTTAGAATCTCCGACTGATACCAAATCGGTCGGGTTTCGTTCCAGGCTTGGAGCCATTGGATGTCTTGCCACACTGATGAGCTGAGATACAACTCATCTGTCTGTGGATTACTATATATATATATATATATATATATATCGTCATCCTCTTTCCTTATTCCCTTTCTCCCCTTTGCCCTCTGTTAGTGGTGGCAGAGATGTCTGTTCTCAGAAGGTTCAATGTTGACATGTGTCAGGGATATGTACACATCATCCTTCATTTATTTATTGAGTTCGAGCACATTGACGTGGTGTAATGGTTAAGAAGCTTGTGTTGCTAGATCAATTACAACTGAGTAGGGAGTTCGATCCTGCTTGGTGTCCAGTATGTTCGGTTTATGTCACATCTAAGGTAAAAATAAAAACTAATTCGGGCATCTCGGCTAGGTGAAATGGTTAGGAAGCTTACCAAACTAGATCAATTACGACTGAGTAGTGAGTTCGATCCTCACTGGGTGTTGCACACTTTCGGTCATGTGCCGCATTTAAAAATTTTAGAAAATCATTTGGTAATGAAGGCAAGGTTATCTCGCTAGAGCAATTACGGCTGAGTAATAACTTTGCTCCTCACTGGGTGCCACATCTAAGAAGATCACTATTCGATCATTGAGTTCCAAATTCTAATAACACCACGCAAACAGTTATCGCAATTTCAGAATCGCTTGATATATCCTGGCCTGATAGGGGCAAAGCATCAATAGAGGACATTATATATATATATATAATGGAATGTACGTTCATAACTGCTCATGGCATGAGAGATTCATGGAAAGTTGAAGTTTATAAGCAGTAAAATCGACCTTGCCAACCGAACGATCCTTTGTGGCCGATCGGGAAGGCACGTCAGGCAATATGAGGTTTCCGTATAGGATACAGGTTCGAAGGATGAATATTTTCTATGAAAGTTTCTCGGACATTCAGGCCGGTAAATGTTTATTATAAACAGAGCATTTACTTAAATATTTGTATCTATAAAAAGAATGTTAAACATAAAAATGTCTTTATATATATATATATATATATATATATATATATATATATATATATATATGAAAATATAGTTTTATGGAGTGCTAAATTTATGAGATAAAGTGCTCAATATCAGAGATAGAGCGTATGTAAAAATAAATATAAGATTAAACATTGAAGTCAACAGTCAGACGCGTCAGGCCGACGATAGCCTCCAGCATGAAACAACCTGTCGCCTCTGAGTGTTGACTACAAAGCTCACTTATATATATATATATACATAAATATATATATATATATATATATATATATATATATATGCCACTTATGCAACTGTGTTTCTCATCAAACCGAATTCATAAATAATTACATCTGGCACACGACTACGTACCTATCCAGACGTCTTACGTAACACCTATCTGACCATAGTTCTATTAGAACCCATTTAAACACAGGCATAAAGTTACAAGACTCCATCCGAAACATATTCGAGAAAATACAATCATAAAAACCTCAGCCACATGTAAAAAAAGATTAAGAATAATGGAACCCTTAAGAATAGAAGAGACAATGTGCTGTGGCCGGGAAATAAAACATCTCTACAACGCTAAAAACACGGACACACTCAATTAAATTGATAATGGCTAAAAGTATAGCCAAAAAGCTCACAGAATTATAGAACATTTAGACAGTTTCTACATTACTGAAGTCTGTATATATATATATATATATATATATATATATATATATATATATATATATATATATATATACTGATGACAATTGGAAAAAAAACTTGGATTTTTGCCGATGCGTCATTTTATATGACAGTCTGTCTTGGCCACAGAATCCATCTGGGAATTTAACTATATATATATATATATATATATATATATATATATATATATATATATATATATACATTAATGATTTTTTTCGCTACACAGTTCTAACCATGTTTCAAAAATGGAAGCTAAAGCTCCAATTTAACTTTTTTAATTAAATTAAAGACATTAGTTCCATTTCATTTTCAAACAATTAATGCTCTGTAAATTTACATTGAGCACTATTTTGTAAAAATAAAATATCTATAAGAACACCGGATTATATATCTTACTGTTCTTTCTTTATATATATATATATATATATATATATATATATATATAAATATATTTAATGTTTTAATGTTTTGTTTAATTTGTTTAAATAATTTATTTTAATAAAATTCTTCGTCCAAATTATTTCATATTCATTTTTAAATTGATTATCATCATTTTCTTATATATTTGGATAGTTTTTACAAACTTTACGCCCAGAAAAGAAATCCCTTGTACAAACACGAGAAAAATCGAATAAAAAGCTTACTCGATGTACTTTACGAATCGACTTTAATGAAACTTGTATAAAAGAGGGTTTGCTGCCCAAATACACATGTATACCGGTTGCAACAGACAGACCTCCCACATATACGTTTCAGAAATATCTGGATGTAAGAAAATAACGTTGCCGCGGACGTCCGACCATAATGGGAGGTGTTTCTGAGAGGAATGTATTCGAGGTAATTCTACTGCGCACACAGTATGTATGAGTATATGTGTGCATGTTTCTATGTGTGCGTGTAGGTATTAGATATTTTCACCGATTCCGTATGAGTAACATCCCCGATCAATTTGATTTAATTTTCATAAAATTTATATCAATAAAAAGAACAAATATATAAATAAATTGCTGAATTCTCAGAAAGATGCATAATTTGCCTAAAAATCAGAAATGGAGACATACGTATTTCGTTTCCGTATTTTTTGGGTCTTTTTTGTTTTTTGTAATTTATTGATTAAAATTTAAAAATATACCAATAAAAATCGGAATTAAATTTGAAAGTCTGATGAATTTGCAATTTCAAATTTTATGGAAATCTAAATTATTATTGACGTTGAATGATTCCTTTTGGCTTTAGAGCACCGAAAACTGGGCGTATTTATGAATGTACACCCTTGTTAAAAATATAAATCTTTTGCTTGTAAAAGCTCAGTAATATGCTTCTTGATCGATACTAATTCTCAATTTCTAAAAGAAAATAACAATGAATTATAAAACCTTGAAAAACAAATAAATCTTGCTAACCGAACGCTCCTTTGTGGCGAAATCGGTAAAAGCACGTCAGGCTATATGACGGTTCCTTATAGGATACACGTTTGATTCGGAGGACGCATATTTTCTATGACAATTTCTCGGACATTCAGGCCGGTAAATTTTGTTAATACTTGTTATTTTAAACAGAGCATTTACTTAAATATTTGTATCTATAAAAAAAAGAATGTATAAACATAAAATGTCTTTATATATATATATATATATATATATATATATATATATATATATATATATATATTATTTTTTAGGCAACAATCCATCTTTTACGCATGTTTCATTAAAAACGGCAGACAAGGTACTACGGTTAAGCATTTTATTTAATTTTTCTTGTATTCGAACAAGAGTTTTCTTTTCTGGACAAAGGTGTGTAAGAACTGTCCAAATATTTTATATTTCCGAGCGCTTTCGAGCAAATATATTAACTGCATCCACCTGCAAAAAAGACTAAAAATAATGGAAGCTTTAATAATAAAAAAGAAAAAGCCAACTCTTAACAATATTAACTACGAACAAAGCCACAATGTACTAATCGTATTCGGAAATTAAAACATCCCTTCCACACACTAATACATACATAGAACGCACACACTCAATTAAGCTGAAAAATAGAATCATCCTTGATAATGGCTAAAGGTATAGACGAAAGCGCTCTGAAATATAAAACATTTGGACAGTTTTTACACACCCTTTGTCTAGAAACATAAGAAAAATTAAATAAAACCTTAACAGTAGTAACTTGTCTGTCGTTTTTAATCAAACATGCATACATATATACATACATACATATATATATATATATATATATATATATATATATATATATATATAGAGAGAGAGAGAGAGAGAGAGAGGCATATAATCTAAGTTAGAATATTTAAACAAGAACGTGTTAAAATCGCTACAAAATGGGAATTATGCATCAAAACTACAAATGTGTCTCCTCGGGCGATGGTTAACTCCTGGCAAGTGAACGATTTATTTAATTTCAAGAGCAGAATACTTCCTCTTTAATCTAGAAAATAAAACAGAATTAAAAATAGGTTTTACCTGTGATTAACGAATCGAATGTGACCTACGCTAAATTTAAATTCACCGAATTTTTTTCTAGACCAAACATCGGAATCTCATTTAACCTTCTTGCAAAATTTAAAGCGTGTTCCACAAACCAAGACAAGGACAAAAGACCATGTAAACATATGTCCACAAATCCTCCCTTATTTAGTTATTAATTTAAAAGGAAGTTTACGATAGATCGTGCTGTGTGGCCTTGTAGATTAGATTACATGTGTCATCCGAGTATATTTGTGGTAAGTCTGTTTCAAAAGTTTAACGCGTGTAGTAGACAGTTCACTGAGAGATGTTCCTTTAAAAAATGGCAGGATATTCAAATCGTGAGCAAGCAGATGTGATTTTTACATACGGCCCCGCAAATGTTAATGGACGCAAGGCTTGCACAGCTGAATAAAAATGTGTTTCCAGATTTAATGCAGCCGAGTCATCCAACCGAAGACGTTGTTGCTAAGAAACAATCCGTGGCATCACAACCTATGGTAAAAAAGTACTTTACCGTAAATTTTAAACTTAATAACTAAAAACCAAAGAATTCGTGAATATATATTTATATGGCCATTTTTGTTTCTTTAGTGTGAGGAAAGAAGATTGTAAAAGTATTTTTGATACACCCTGTATATATACAAGGAATTATGGTAAAATTTCCCCATTTTATATTTCTATTTTTATTTCGTGCATGAACTGTTTTTGTTTTCGATGTTATTGCCTGCACTGTGTACTAGGGTCAGTTGGTCATGATTCATTATTGGCGGACACAATCTTAACAACATAAAATGCGCAGATAACACAGTACTGAGAGCAGACACGGAAAGGTAATTACAAAACTTCTTACAGAAGGTAGCGAAGGAGAGCAAGAAGAAGGGGCTAAGCATAAACTACAAGAAGACAGATTGCATGGTTATCAGTAAAAGGGTGACCCCGAAATGCGATTTACAGGTGGAGAACACAGAAATCAAGTAGATGCATAAATATCTGGGAAGTTCTCCGACAGAGGACTTTAAGTGCGATACTGAGAACCGAAGACGTATTAGGATGACAAAAAGAGCACTATGACGGAAGTCACTCTGCCAGAAATTTAGAAACGGCTTGCTGTACCGATCTGCATTCGCACCGGAAGCTCCAGTACACAAATTTCAGAATGATTGGGTGTCAATCCAAGGACGACGCAGAAGATTCGGAAAGAGGTGGACGATATATCCAGTAAATATATTGGTGTTTGGAGTAATCAGTAGTGATGGCGACGTTGTGCCTTCATTCATCACCCCACGGCCTCAGACTCAACGCGGAGGCTTACACCAAGCGCCATGAGGAAGTAGTACTCCTTTGGGACAATGGGGTAGCTACTAGAAGACCCTATGTTTGGCAGGACGTAACACAAGCAGGAGATCCCTGTCATGGCTGTCAGATAATTTCTGCGACCACATCACCCCTTATATCTGGCCTCTTAACTCCACAGACTGACACGCCATTGATTATTATTTGTAGGGTGTAGTTGAGTGAAAGACCAACAAAACTCATAACACCAAAGATGAACTGCAGGCAAGGATTATGGAAGCATTCACCAACTTAAACAAGAATTTCCAGAAAAAAATTTGCAGGAGATTCTGAATTCCTCTTGGGGCTGAGGTTGAAGTCAATGGCGATTTTATTAAATGAATTTACTCTTTTCTATTTCAAGATATTTGTGTAATCTTGGTAAATATATCTGTTAAAATGAGATGTCAGTATTATTTACATGTTTGCTTAATTTAGACCAAAATGTATCCATCGTACCCTGTATATTTTGAAGTATTTCTTTTTCATTTATTTACGTATTCTTTCTTTGTTTTCCTTCCTTTATTTTCTTTATTTTTTTAAGCATTTCACTCCAAGCAAAGCGGGAGTGTTACTAGAACGCAAGGGGTTACAGAGTGTGGGAGCAAGAGTAAAGAGGCGTGAAAGAGGAAACGTTGAAGAGAACGACAGGGGAATAGATCAAGGCATCTGGAGATCTCGATTGACATTACATTCGTATAGTTGGAGATTATAGCTATCAGGGAAGCAAATAAGAGGAAGGGAGTTTCACAGATTGGAAGTGGGAGACCTGAAGCTATTAAAGAAGAAGAGACTGCTACATTTAACCGTTTCGACAGTGAAAGGGTGCAACTGAGATGCCAACCTAATAGCACGTTTAAATTCATTCTGTTTGGGAACTAGCGAAAGTAGCTCGTCGGAGCAGTTACCGTGAAATTATTTATAGAGAAGACAGAGGGAAGCGACAGTACGTCTGCGACAAAGTGATTGTAGACGAGATGCCATATCAGGACGAATCACACTGCATATCAGTCTGTACATTCCAAGTTTTAGTATTTCCCTTTTGTTTTTTGTTTTTTTTTTCTCATTTTCTTTCTTATTTCTATTTTCCTTCTAATTTCTATTTTCTTTCTTTCCTTTTTTCATATTTCAGTTTTTATCATATCCCTTGCGATTTTTCTTTGTTTATTTATTTACTAAAATTCCAATAAAACCCATCGTTATATTGTATACCGTCTCATTCATTGTTTGTTTCTTTCTTTTTCTTTTCTTTTTTCTTTCTTTTCTTTACATAGTAATTTTTATCACTTCCTTTACTCTTTCGTCTTTCTTTCTTTCTTTCTTTCTTTCTTTTTTATATGTCACTTTATACAATTTCCCTTCCTTCTTTCTTTTTCCATTATTATATTGCATAATATCTCATTCATTATTTGTTTGTTCCTTTTCTTTTCTTTTTTTTCGTTTCTTTTCTTTACATAGTAATTTTTATCACTTCCTTTACTCTTTTGTCTCTCTTACTTTCTTTCTTTCTTTCTTTTTTATGCGTCTCTCTATACAATTTCCTTTCCTTCTCTCTTTTTCCCTTTTCCATGATTATATTGTATAATATTTCATTGATTCCTTTTCTTTCAGAATTTCCATTTTCAAAATATCGTTCGTTCTATTCTAAATAATGTTCTTTCATTAATTAATACATTTATTTATTTTTATTTTTACCCATGCATTTTTTATTCTTTCTCCTTTTGAATCAACTTTCTCATAGACATTTTCATTCATTTATTCATTCATTCATTCCGTCATTCCTTAATTTATTCATTCATTCTTTTCTTTCTTTTTTTTACATAGCAATTATTATCACTTCATTTGCTCTTTTCTCTCTCTCTTTCTTTCTTTCTTTCTTTCTTTCTTTCTTTGACATGTAAATTTATAAAATTCCCCCTCCTTCTGTCTTTTCCCCCTCTCTCTGTCAGTTTACTCTTTTACTCTTCCTTCATCTCTTTCTTTTACTAAAATTCCATTATTCTTAATCTTTTTATCATATACACTTTCATTCCTTCTTTCATTTATTATTCATCTGTTCTTTCCTGTCTTTTCACTTTAAATTACAATAATTACCACTTTCTTTCCTTCCTTCCTTCCTTCCTTTCTTTCATTCTTCCTTTATTTATTTCTTCTTCTTACTTTGTTTCTTTGTTTGTTTCTTTGACCTTTCTTTCTTTATGCCATTTTCTATCTTTTCCCTTCTTTCTCTCTGTCTCTCTCATTCGTTCTTCTATTACAATTCAATTACTATTAATCTTTTATCATATGCATTTCCCTCTCTTTCTACCAACCTACATTCTTTTTCTTTCTGCCTTCCTCTCCTTTTCCTTACATTACAATAAATATAACTTCCTATTCTGTTTTTACTTCTCTTTATTTTTTGTGTTCTCTGGTTTTCTCTCTCTTTCTTTCTTTCTTCCTCTCTTTCTTAAAAGTCATTTTCCTTTCTTTCTTTGTTGCTTTCTTTTAATACACTTCCTTTATCATTAATCTCTTCGTCATCTATATATTCCTTCCATTTTTCATTATGTTATTTCTTTTTCTTTCATTTTTTCTTTTTTCTTTCATTCATTCAATCTTTTCTGTCATTCATTCTTTCATTCCTTCATTCATTCTTCCTTTCTGTCTTTTATTTTTTCATTCATTCTTTTATTCACTCATTCTTTCTTACATCCTTTTTTTCGGTCTTTCGTTCTTTCTTTCATTGATTGATTCATTTTATTTTTGTTTACAATTGAATTGCATTTAGTTTATAATGTGTCATTTTACGTTCATTCCTTGATACATATTGCATCATTTTTCATTAGGTTCTTTCCTTTTCTTAACATTCATATAGTTCTTTTTTCATTTTCTATTTTTCTTTTTTATATTTCATTTTGTCTTCTTTCTTTCTTTTACTACAATTCATTTACTATTAATCTTTTTTATGAGATACATTTGCCTTATTTCATTAAGTTAATCATACTTTCAATATCATATGCTGCTTTTCTGATTCATTCATTCTTCTTTCTATAAATCATTCATTATTTTTTCATTCTTTAAGTAATTCTTTCATCCATCAATTCATTTTTCTTTCATTCAATTATTCATTCATTATTTCTGTCTTTCTGCCATTTTTTTCTTTCATTCACTTTTCTTTTTTCATTCACTTATTCAATCTTTCATTCATTCATTCATTCTTTATTTCATTTTTTCATTCATTCCTTCTTTCTTTAATTCATTTATTCATTCTTTCATTCATTCTTTCTTTCATACATTGTTTCTTCTTTTATTTACTCATTCATTCTTTCATTCATTCATTCTTTCTTGTTTACTTTCAATCATTACTTCTTCCTTTAATTCATTCATTCATTCTTTCATTCATACTTTCTTTCATTCATTATTTCTGTCTTTCTGCCATTCTTTTCTTTTATTCTTTCATTCATTCTTTCTTTCATTCATTCTTTCTATTTTCATTCACTTATTCAATGTTTCATTCATTCATTCATTTTGTATTTTATTCTTTCTTTCATTCTTTCTTTCATATATTTTTTCTTTCATTTACTCATTCATTCTTTCATTCTTTCTGGCTTGCTTTCAATCATTCCTTCTTTCTTTCATTCATACTTTCTTTCATTCATACTTTCTATAATTCATTCTTTCTTTCATTCATTCTTTCTTTCATTCATTCTTTGTTTAATTCATACTTTCTTTCATTCATACTTTCTTTCATTCATACTTTCTTTAATTCAATTCTTTCTTTCATTCATTCTTTCTTTCATTCATACTTTCTTTAATTCATTCTTTCTTTCATTCATTCTTTCTTTCATTCATACTTTCATTCATTCCTTCTTTCTTTAATTTATTTATTCATTCTTTCATTCATTCTTTCATTCATTCTTTCATTCATTCTTTCCTTCATATATTTTTCTTCTTTCATTTACTCATTCATTCATTCATTCTTTCTGGCTTGCTTTCAATCATTCCCTTTTTTTTTAGTTCATTCATTCTTTCTTTAATTCTTTCTTTCATTCATTCTTTCTTTCATTCATTCTTTCTTCTTTCATTCACTTATTCAATCTTTCATTAATTCATTCATTCTTTATTTTATTCTTTCTTTCATTCATTCCTTCTTTCTTTAATTTATTTATTCATTCTTTCATTCATTCTTTCATTCATTCTTTCATTCATATATTTTTCTTCTTTCATTTACTCATTGATTCATTCATTCTTTCTGGCTTGCTTTCAATCATTCCCTTTTTTTTTAGTTCATTCATTCTTTCTTTCATTCTTTCTTTCATTCATTCTTTCTTTCATTCCTTCTTTCTTTCATTCTTTCTTTCATTCATACCTTCTTTCATTCATTCTCTTTTTGTTTACAACAATTGAATTGGTGTATTTAGTTTGAAATGTGTCTCTTTTTTTGTTTTCATTCGTATATTTAGTCATTCATTTTTTTTCTTTCTTTTCTAACTTTCAATTATCAGTTGGAGTCATTTTTATTGTTTCTTTTATGATTTTTCTTTCTAACTTTCTTCCTTTCTGTCTAATTTTTCTCCCATCCTGCCTCAGCTTTAATTCGATACAAAATAATAGGGGTCTTCTTCCAATTTCATGACTTGATTTCCACATGCCATTGATAATTGGCTCTTCAAGATGCTGCTCTTGAATTTTTCATCATTTGCATTTTGAGTTATTTTTAAATTGCAGCTAAAAGTACTTCTTCCTGCTTAAAAATCAGTGGCGCAAATTCACATCCACCAACCATCGTTCCAATGCTCTTACCTCTCAGCGACAAAACCCTAAGTTACATACATAGATACATACATATGCATCCGAAATTTGTTTACGTCAGCCAAAAGTCACCAAGAATAAGTGAATACCGAATGCGCTTAATGGCTTTTCTCAAGGCAACGATGGAAAGCCAGGAGCATCGCGAACCTACGAACTCCCAATGGAAGGATGGAGTTTGGAACATGACTGTATTCACAAATAGAAATGTATATCGCAAATGTAGCTATTCTTAATTACCAGTTTGATCTATCTATCTATCTATCTATCTATCTATCTATCTATCTATCTCGGGCGATCTCAAAAATGCCATTATGTAAAATTGGCATGTATATAAAAGTTGTATGCCTTACTGAACTGATAAAAACTGAGAGGTTAAAAAGTAATTGAACACAAACAGACAAAATGACCTTTCTTTGTAGAACATAGATATCGCTGATTGAATATAAAAAAGTACACACATACATACACACACACATATATATGGATATATATATGTATGTATGTGTATATTTATATAGCAGCGAAATTGTACCGTTGTATCTTAGAAATGATTAATGATATTTTACTGGAATTCTCCGAGGTTTTTATAACACGATTGGTCTCTACTTTCAGCAATAAGAATATACAATGACTCTCCAAGCTTAACAGAAGAATTGGGATAAAATCTATCATAAACGAAAATGATATTTTCATCACAAATTAATCATAGCTAAGGATTGGAAGCCCATGAATATTGAAATAAAGTTTAAACATTCATATATATATATATATATATATATATATATATATTATTTATTTAAAAATATGATTCCATCGCAATATAAGAGTTCTCATAAATAATTATATTTAGGCTCTACATTTGAATCGAGCACTGTTTTTTTTTAAATAACAAAAATACTAAAGAAATTTGGATTATTTACCTAACGAGTTCTATCCTATTTTCTATATATTTCTACACACACACACACACACACACACACACACACACACACATACATATATATATATATATATATATATATATATATATATATATATATATATATATATATTATTCCAGGATGATTTTCAAACTTGTTCAAGATGATCTTCGCCTTTTCTAATCTTTTAACTTTCTGTCCTGGAGTAGCAAGTTACCTCACAGTTTTCCCGTAAGATTTCATTTTCAAGCGACTTTTCGCTGCTCTTTGTACTGTCATAACCGAAAGTGCTCTCTCATTTGCCAAAAGTATTATAGTCTGAGTTGGATCTTTCGTACTGATCTCTTTAGCTCTAAGTTGAAACGATGTTAACTCTTCCTATGTGGTAATTTAGAGCTAAAGAGATCAATTAAGAAATTTACAAGTGGTGTGAAGATGGCTAAACATAATATCTGAAAACCTGGAAAATAAAAACTCAGTCAGTTTAGTGTTTTTTGTTGTTTTTTATTTAAATATTAAACATTTTGTGGGATGGACTATTATGCTGTAACACGATTTGGACAATTTTTCTGTATGTATGTATTTTAAATAAAAACAGACCACTTTGATGTTCCATGAAATAAATTACTTTAATACTTTTAAAGGACTGCAGATCATAAGGGCTGTGGTGAAATAATTTATTACATGGAACCTTAAAGTGGTCTGTTTTTATTTAAATTATTTGCTCTGGATATACATTGAGCTCTCTGGATTATATCCTCCTTTGATTTACCCATATGGATTACCTAGTTTTTCATAAACTATATATATATATATATATATATATATATATATATATATATATAGTTATTGGTCAGTGGTCATAACTTAAAGCTTTTAGGAAATTCCGCATAATTTGTTAGATCGCCAGTTTGGGCATATGACAATCAAGCTCAGATGCTTGGTCGGGATGTCTTGTGAAGTTTTGGTAGCGAAACCACCTACAGCCTCGGATCAGTTCCGTTAATATATTTGAGGGAAAATGTGTATGGCCAACCCGTGGTTTCCAGATCTCGATCTCTGCACACACACACACACACACAGAGAGAGAGAGAGAGAGAGAGAGAGAGAAATTTATAAAAACAAGGATCTTTTCATTCATAACAGGTTCGGGGTTTTTCATGCCACTTTGACAGAAAATTTACCAGTAAAATAATTCACTTATCACCATATTTGTACAAGAACGCTCAATTGTAAAATTTAAAATCAAACTCAGCGTTGCTACTGCACGCTCCAAAAACAATAACTCATTTTTAATAGCATTTTCGGATACAACAATACATATATTTTTCGTTGTCCTCTTATTACTAAGAGAAAAACAAGAACAACATCTATTCCATACCTGAAGATGTCTGTAGGAACAGACGAAAGCTTGTAGTAAAATAAGAACTAATGCAACAGAAATTTATAAAACAAGGATCTTTTCATTCATAACCGGTTCAGGGTTTTTGTATATTATTTGAATTGTTTGCGACGATGGATTTCTCGCCAATTAAATCATTAACCTTTTGTATTTGTTTTTGGTATGAATAATTCATGAATATATATATATATATATATATATATATATATATATATATATATATATATATATATATATATGTTAGATCACGCGCACATACACGAATATATATAAATATGTATATATACATAATATTTTTTTTCCCTTTGCTGATTGATATTATATTCACCACTTTGACTTCAGTGATTACATTCACTTACGTTCTAATACACCTGAGAAAGGTATGGATGATCTTCTTCTACCCCTCCCCCCTACAGCTAAGGGTAAATAGCAGGACAGATCGGACTCTATAGTCTTGTATGGTCTACCGTAGAAAGAAATGTCAACCTACTGCGGGAAAAAATCTGCCTCGTCAGTCATGAATCGAAAGATACATGATCGCCGAAGCGTGTATCACGCATGGCACATAACTGACTGACTGACATACGAGAAAAAAAAAAAAAAAAAACGAGGGATTATTTTTGCCCGATAATAAAATGTTCAACTAGCCCAGAGTTAGTTTCAGAATATGGACTGCACACAAAAAAATCCGAGACACAATAATATATAATGGCAACACTGACATTAGCTTAAATGTTTCTCAATGCTCCATTATTATTATTATTATTATTATTATTATTATTTTAAAATCATTTCATCCCAAGCACTTCAATAACGCCAAGGTGTTACTGACATTTAAAGCAATTGAGAAAACATTGGATAATAAAATAACGGTGTTAAGGAAAACTGAAGATAGCGATTGACGTTGCATTTAAACTTTTGAAGAGCGTAGGAGGCAGGGAAGTAAGAAACAGAGAGAGAGAGTTAGAAGTGATTGATTGATACATTTTTTTTTACCAACACTCCAGAAAATAGTTTTAGGTTATCAGATTTTATTTTATTTTATATTTTTTGTGGGAGAGATAATGCTTTAGTGATACAAGTTTTACTAATTAACCCATACCTGGGGGAGCAGAGTTGGACACATATCTTTCCCCATGATATTTGAGCTTAAGTGAATATAATGAACCCAACCGGAATTGAAACTTGACACTCCGATTAACAACTCCGAACCATTATCCAATAGACCACCCAGACATCCAAGCTTATGGGATATTGTATTCCCATGCGGTCACCCATTTAGATACTGACCTAGACTGACGTTGCTTATCTTCGGTGATTGTACGGGGACTAGTGTTTCAACGTGATGTGGCTGTAAGCCAGTTTGGAAGGGAGAAAAGATAATATTGGGATGGAACTTCCTGTCGCATCTAGCTAGTTCAACGGTATAACAATGGGGCCTAGTTGCCAATTTAGTCGTAAGTTTCAATTAATTCGGTCAAGGTACCAAAAAGAGGGGATCATTCGGTGAATTATGACGGGGATACAGTTATTTGGTCAGACAAAGAAAAAATAGAAACTTTCGGGGCATTATTTGTAATGTTAGTTTGACAAAAAATAACTATTATTACGGCTTCCTTGAATTGAGCGAAATGAATGGTTCAGTTCGACATTCCAACCCCCTGAAGAAGGCCGAAACGTTGTGCTAAACATGGCGACAAAGATGAGGACAATAGGCCGAATAATGTAAATAGTGTTCCATTTTAAATCATTGACGATCAAAACTGATTGGAAAGCAAGAAGCCGGACGAGTGTTGAACAGGCAAGAAGTGCTAAAGAATAAACTGTTAGCATAAATCTTACGTTTATATCTAGCCATTTCAAATGTAATATGATGAGACCGAATTTCTATTCAAGTACTGAACTTAAATTCGTTGAGGCAAGGCACAGCAGAGCAAAACTTATCAGAACAGTTCCCTTGAAAATATTTGTAAAAAAGTACAGAGGAGTTATGTTAAGTCAGTTGGAAAGTCACTAAAGCCGAGATGCGAGTTAAGGGCCGATAACTTTAGAAATTCTTCTTTGGGTTTTATCAAGAATCTACAAATGTATAGCAGAGACACCATCATCAGATTTGAAAGCAAGATTCAATTCATGACGAATGATAGAATGATAAATATTTAAGATAGACTCAGGAGATAAAAATCGTCTAGGACGACATTGTCTAGCAGCAGTCTTAGGAAATCATTCGATATAATCCTTCCACTTCATGTCAGCGGAAAATAATTATATGATATTAAGAAAGTCAGCTCTGTGGATAACTGTAAGCAAACATATCGACCAGTTCATCACACCAAAAAACTATTAAAATCTGTGTGGAGGAAACATGAAGCTGCCTCAAAGATGACGCAATGTAGTTGAACAAAATGGCACATAAGTGGTTGAATAAATTTAAGTTTAAATATTTAAATATTGTTTTCAAAATGTCCTTAAAAAGTCTCCATGAATGTTTTTCCAACACAGTGTATGATGGCTAAATTATCAACACAGTGTATGATGGCTAAATTATCGTCTTAATTCAGAAAAAATGACATCTCATTTTTACAGATCTATTTACCAATATTACACAAAAATATCTTGAAAGACTAAATTTATTCACTAAAATCGCCATTGGCTTCAACCACAGACACCAGACGACTTCTGAATCTCTTACAGGACTTTTAGACTGTAACCTTGTTTAATTACGGGAATGATGTCATAATACTTCTTTAGTATTACAAAGAGTTCTGTTGATGTCTCTCTCTGTCTCTCTCTCGCTCGCTCTCTCGCTCACTCAGCTGCACCATACACGCATAATGATTATTATGCGTATAAGGGGGTTGCCGTCTGGTGAGAGAGGTGACCATATGTAAGGGGTGATTTTGCAGCAGAAATTGTCTGACGCCCATGACTGGTTTTTCTTGCAAGAGTGACATGGTGCAGATTCCTGTTGCCAGGCATAGGATCTTCCAGCGGTCAACCTGTTGACGCAGGGCAGCACTACATCCACAAGTCACGATGTAGATCGTGTTGAATCTAACACCCTCACCAACAAATTCGGGAGATCTTTTCTTATTAGAACGATCAGAGTGAGATTTCCGAGCTGCCGTACCTTCGTAATGACCATTAGACTCCTCCATTTCTTTCAAAACCCTCTGAATTGTTTTCAGATTGACACGCAAACACTCTGAAATGTTTGTATTGTAGCTCCCGCTGGGAATGCCAATCAGAACAGCATGCCGTTTCCAAAATTCTGGTGGTGTTAGTTGCATCATGGCGCTCTTTTTCTCACAGACGGTGCCAAACTGACCCTAGTGTACCGTTCAGTCGACAAAATCAAGAACAAGCAAGCGCATGCGCAAAATTAAAAATATAAAATGGCGATATTTTTCCCATCACAACCTGTATATTTTTTTTAAGCATTACGCCCCGAACAAGGCGTGAAGCCACTAGGATGCAGGCGGTTGCAGAAGATTTGGAACGAGAGCAGATAGGAGTGATAGAAAAAAGGCTGAGGAGAGGGATAGTGGATAGATCAAGTTAACTGGAGATGTCGATTGACATTACATTTGAATAGTTGGAGATTATAGCTATCAGGGAAACAGTAATTGGGAAGGGTGTTCCACGGGCGAGAGGTGCGAGGTATGAAGCTATTGGAGTAGAAGAGACGGCTACATTTTAAAGTTTCTACAGTGTAGGGCGCTTGAATTCATGGATTCTGGGAACCAGTGAAAGCAGCTCATCGGAGTAATTACCATGAAAGTATTTGTAGAAAAGACAGAGAGAGAGAGAGAGAGAGGCGACGGCGCGTCTGTGAGAGAGTGACTGTAGACGAGATGCCAGATCAGGGCCAATTATATTACATATCCGTCTCTGGATCTTGTCAAGAACTCCGAGGTACAGAGGGTGCCTCAGACCATATATGGCAGCAATACTCCATGCAAGGGTGAATGGTTGATTTGTATATTTGAACTATCGTAGTACACATCGTAATCTCTTATTTACACGTTTTATCTTGTAGAGAACGTAGCGTATATTTGACAAATTTCCCCCAAACAAGACTTGAACGAGCAAAGAAAATCAGCTTTCTGTATTTTAAGAAAAATACCTTCAAGATGCAAACAAAAATAAGCCATCGTTAAGCTTACTCTGTATTACCATATGCGCCTTAACTATATACAAGATTAAAGAAAATTATAAATACTATACGCCTGGAAATATTTTTCTGAATGTACAAAAGAAATACGAAAAAATTAAAATAACAAATTGAAATTAATCGTTATTCGATATTACTCATTCTGTGAATAAATAATTACACGAAGGTCAAAGGGGTACGTTTCTATTCCTGCATTTGAAGATATCAGACATACATATTTTCCAACTCAAAATCTCGTTAAAGCTAATGAGTCGCATATATATATATATATATATATATATATATATATATATATATATATATATATATATGTGTGTGTGTGTGTATATATAAAAAACATATACATACACACACGCCTGCGCACACATATATATATGAACGATTCTCAATTATCGTTGGTTTCTAGCGACTCAATGTTTCATTTAGGACATGATACTCAACTATATATATATATATATATATATATATATATATATATATATATATATATATATATATATATATGATATACATACAAATTGAAATACAGACTGAAGTATCTAGTCACTTGAACCGCCTATTGATGGGGAGTGCGCCGTATAGCTAACTTAAAGTCGACGTAAAACTCTAAATACCGAGAAGGCAAAATTATGTTTTTTTTTTCTACTTATTTCTTATATTTGTGTTTTTGCATTTTGCGATGAGCACTGTTGTTCTAACATTTTTATTTTCAATATCATACAATATATATATATATATATATATATATATATATATATATATATATATATAAGTGCACAGGTATGCAGAAAATAGAAAAAAAAACACGTTGGAGTTCCTTAGAATTTTTGTTTTATTTTTAAGAAGACAGTGCTCCGTACAGAAGTAGAGCTTTATTATAATAATATTTTTTTTGTTTAAAAATATGATTCCTTCGCTACATAAGAGTTCTCATGTTTCAAAAAGCGAGAACCAAAACCATCCAAATAATTATTAAATTTAAGTTGAATTGAGGTGTTTAGTCCCGTTTCATCTTCAAGCGAAATTTTGCGAATAAGCTATCTCTCGGTTTACGTGTGTTTTTAGGCATGGTCCGTTACAACATTCGTTATTGTGGGAGTGGTTAGACTATGTTTCTTCGTTAAGTGGTCAGAGAGTTAATTCTTATCAATAGATTCGTAAACCGAAAGATAGCTTATTCCTAAAATTTCAATCCGTCCTCAATATATATATATATATATATATATATATATATGAGCAACGGAACTTTTGGTAATCCGTATGGATACTTCCAAAGAGGATGAATTCCTGAGAGTTCATTTTTAATTCAGAGCGAATAATTTAATTTAAAGAAAAACAGACTACTTTAAGGCTCCATTTGTAATAATTTTTTTCACCAGAGAATTTTATCCTTCTCTGGATCCTCAGACTTCACTTTCAAAAGGTGAAACGAAAAATGAAATTAAAATTTACATTTTTGACGGGCAGTATTAAGCTTATATAAGTGGACATAGAGGGTGGTGAGGGATGCTATGAGAGACATGGTTGAGTTTAGAGAGGGAAGATAAGCAAGGCGGAAAGCCACTAGGACGCAAGGGGTTACAGAAAATTTGGAGCAAGGTCAGATAGAAGTGATAGAAGAAAGGATGAGGAGAAGAGTAGTGGATAGATCAAGGCAACTGGAGATACAGAGGCCAGTGAGAGAGAGAGAGAGAGAGTACCGGAAACCCCTTCCTAAGCAAGAAACAGGGCGTAAGCCTCTACTCATGTCCAAGACAAGGGGGAGGAGTGCGGACCGGGCGGTAGGAAAGCCTAGCTACTCCAATTAATTTTTACTCAGTTTGACACGCAAATACGCCGAAATGTTAGTATTGGAGCTTCCGGTGCGAATGCCAAGCAGTACAGCATGCTGTTTTCAAATTTGTGTCAGCCCCACTGTCTTCAGGCCTTCAGTAATGGTACCAACATTCATACTCTGGCTTCTATCTTCAAGATCCACTCAAGAAACATCAATAGAACGTTGAATAATTAAAAAAAAAAGAACAGTAGAGAGGTAAACTGGACTAGGAGGTCACGACAACAAGAGGAATCATCATTTCAGATTAGAGCTAAAGATATCAATTACAAAAGATCCAGTTCAATCCATTAGAAGTGAGATACGAATTTCAGCTATGAGAGTTCAAAAACAAGTGAAAAATTACTTGAAAACGAAATCGAACCTGAAACCACTAAGGCACCAAGACAGAAATTAGAAGGATACAGAGGGCGAAGATCATCTTGAATAAGTTGGAAAAAGATCCTGGTATAATATATATATATATATATATATATATATATATGTATATATATTTGAATTTTATTTCTATACTTCATGAGGTTCCTTAGCAATAATTAATGATGAACATGTCATTATTGTTTATAATCGATTTCATCACGATCTTCCTGTTAAGCTTCGAGAGTAATTACACTTTCTTTTTTTTGAAAGTAGAGTCCAATAGTGTTACAAAAAAAAACCTCCGAGGTTTCCAAAAGATATCTTTAATCATTTCTAAGATACAACGTTTCAAATGTTAATCTAAATGTTGGACAATTTTTTGCTGTTACACGATCTGGACAAATATATATATGTATCTGTGTGTGTGTGTGTATATATATATATATATATATATATATATATATATATATATATATATATATATATATATATATATATATATACACGCAATTAAATGTGAAGTGTTTTCTCTGTCAACAACCGAATGCGAGTCGACAAAAAATCGAAGTCAGTAAAAGAAAAAAAAAATAAACGTGTATCAAAACAGATCAATAAATCAATTGAAATGATCAAAGCCATTACGGAAAACTTCGTTTTTTCAACGATGCCCCCCACCACACCAGATCACACTCTCTCCCTTTCTCTCTCTCTCTTTCTCTCTCTCTCTCGTTCTCTCTCTCTCTCTCTTTCTCTCTCTCTCTCTTACATCTACACCCCCTCTCCATATGTAAGAATCTTCCAACGTGCCACCATGTACCTATCTCCACACAACCCCGTTTCACTTCGCAAGACGCTTTGTCTTTCGGAAATGACGTCCGCCTAAACCGATCCAAAACACAGCCACCGCCTCCTGCAGCCAGTTTCAACACGTCTGTGTGAACTACCAATGTCTTCCCGCTTACGCCTACTTGAGAACAAATGACATGTCACTGCGCATGCGTTAAGTCCTTCGGAAATGAGCTTTTGCATTACGGGTTCGTTATGGCAAATGTGAACAATAATAACAACGAAGAAAGTAAAGCAACAGTGTAAGTTTTATTCTTATTTTTGATGAATACAGAAATATTATCAGGTTTTACTGTCAGCGTTCTTATTCAATTTAAATTTAACTGCGTCATTTTTTCAATGAGATTGTTTGCTTCAACTGATATTACAGAAAGCAACATTTTTTCTCTACTGCTGACGACAATGGAATTATGTCTGCTTCTTTGTCTGAGCTGTTTTCAATTTGAAATTTTGAACGCTTTTTGTGTTTATAGATAGATAGGTAGATAGATATTGATAATATTAGTGGTCAATATATATATATAGTTATATATCTATTATATTTATATACTTATTATATATTTTATATTATTATTATATATTTATTATATTTATTTATATATATATATATATATATATATATTTATTCTACATTCAACGCCATCACTTGATAAGACACAAGAAGTGTTGAAACAAAATATTGCTGAGAATCCACTATCTTTTTGGGCTGTTTCGTAGTCTTTCTTAGCCAATGAATCCATATTTAACAAAGTCTTTCTCATCCAATGAATCCATATTTAACAAAGCTAAGAAAGACAACGAAGTAGCTCTAAAAGATGGCGGATTCCCTAGCAACACTCAAATACTCACCACAGTTAACAAAAAAAGCCTACAGGAAAACAAATATATGGTTCAACCCACAGCACAGCAAAAACGTAACAACAAACGTAGGAAAATATTCTTCTAACTCTTACAGAAACACTTCCCGGAATCAAGCACCCTACACTAAATATTCAACAAAAACACAGTGAAAATCAGCTACAGTTGCACCGAGAACATGGCACAAATAATAAAAAAGCTCAACAGAAAAATTATCAACAAACCACACGAACAAATTAAACCTAAGTGTAACTGCAGAATAAAGAACGAATGTCCCTTTAACGGTAATTGTTTACAAAACAAGGTAATATACCAAGCCACGATAAAATCAACAGATAATGAAGAAAAAGTATATATAGGAGTAACTGAAGGACCCTGGAAACAAAGAAATTATGTACACAAAACATCTTTCACAAATAGTAAATATGCGAATAGCATAATGCTTTTAAGTATATCTGGGAAATTAAAACCGAAACGCACACACAAATATCCTGGAAATTAAGGAAAAGATCATCAGCCTACAACAACCAATCAAAAGCTTGAAAACTTTGCTTGGAGGAAAAATAGCTATCATTACCTTCCCAGACCAAAATAAATAATTAAACAAAAGATTCGAATTCATCTCAAAATGCACACATGAAAACAAATTTTTACTACCTTACTTAAAATTCGAAAACTGAAAAAAACAAAATAAAATGAAAAATTAAAATGAAATAAATAAACAAATAAATAAATAAACAAAATGACAATAAAATAAGTAAAATAAATTAACCCAAACAAATTACCAAATCACAGCCGTTAGAATAGACGAAATAGAATAAATAAATAAAAAAAGAAAAAGAAAATCGATGAACACAAATAAATAAAGTAAATAATAAACAAATTAACAAACCATTATGACCAAAATATTATTAGACTGTAAAGATCAAACCAAAAATCAGAAGAAAAACGTAGATATAACTGCTACATAACGATAAAAAATACTACGTTACTTAAAAATCGAAAACCGAAAAGAGTAAATAGAAATATACAGTATTAATAAATAATAAAAAAAGTAATATAAATTAATCTAAATCCATCCAAATAAGCAAATTAACAAACCGATCCCGATAAATTAACAGTTAGAAAAAACGAATAAAGATAATCAATCCAAATAAATACATAAAGTGATAAACAAATAAAAAACTGCGCCCACCAAAATAATAGTTAGAATAAAGTACAACAATCAACCTCAAAATTGAATAAATAGCTTTAATTATCTTCCCAGACCAAAGCAAAACTATTAAATGAGAGATATAAAGAAATTTTTCTACGTTAATAAAAACACCGATGAAAATAAAAATAAAAAAATATAAATATATAACATAAGAAATAAAAATAAAGAATAAAAAAGTAAACGACTTCCGGCAAAATAACTGCCAAATTAGACTGCCCAAAATGCACCACTGACCGTATATATATATATATATATATATATATATATATATATATATATATATATGTATGTATATATGTATGTATGTATGTATTACTAAGAAACAGACAACTTTGCGGTTTCATGGAATTATAATTTATTTCCTTAGGACCAGGATGTTTGTCCTAATTCTTCAAATCTAATTTTTTCCAGACTTAAAACAAACATTACTTACAGTTTTATATTTTTGTATGAAATAAAAAAAAATACGACAAAATGTCCAGTGCATTCTGCATTTGTTGAGAATTCTTCTAGACTCGATGAATTAATTACGATTATTCAAATCTCTGTTAATTTCTCTCTCTCTCTCTCTCTCTATATATATATATATATATATATATATATATATATATATGCATGTTTCATTAAAAACGACAGACAAGGTACTACGGTTGAGCTTTTTATTTAATTTTTCTTGTGTTCTGACAAGAGCTTTCTTTTCTGGACAAAGGTGTGTAAGAACTGTCCGAATGTTCTGTATTTCTGAGCGCTTTCGGCTATAACTTTATCCATTATCAAGGATGATTCGATTATCAGCTTAGTAGAGTGTGTGTGTTCTGTGTATGTTCAGTGTGTGGTAGTGATATTTTTAGTTTCCGAATACGGTTAGCACATTGTGGCTTTGTTCATAGTTAATATTGTTAAGAGTTGGCTTTTTCTTTTTTATTATTATTATGTGCTAACGGATGAGCGGCTCAGGGATAGAAGATTCTACTAGACTCGATGAAATATATATATATATATATATATATATATATATATATATATATATAATGTGTGTGTGTTTGAGTGTGTGTGAATTTGGGATCAAATAGAAATCAAATGTGGATCGATCGGTGTCCGAAAGAATGACAGGGTAATGAAACGTTCATAGAGTGTTGTTCTTGAATTTTTGAAATAGTTTCCCTGTTTCGACAAGATGCATGCGGATCAAGTATAGATGGAATATCGATCGGAATTCGACTAAATGATAGGAGAAAGGATAAATAGAAAGCATTTATAGACAGTTAACTTTTGAAGTTCTTTCCATGCGTGCTATCATTCTGTCGGATTCAGATCCAGATTTGATATGTATTTGATCTCAATTCATCTTCGCTGACCATGAACACGACTACAAAAATGCATCAACATTCTATAAAAGTTTATTCGTTGTTCTTTATATTATCATGTTATCTGATTCAGATCCATAATTTATCTGTATTTGATCCCAATTCATCTTGTCCGATCATGGAAACTACTTCAAAATGCCAACAACATTCTATACAAGACTGATTTGTTATTATCCTAATATTGAGTGGGATTCTCCTTCTTGTTTGATCTGTATTTGATCACAATTCATTATGTTAGAATATGGAAACTACTTCAGAAAGTGCCCAACATCCTAAGCGTTTCCTATATTGTCGTCGTTATTTGATCTGTATTTGATCGCAATTCATCATGTCCGAATATGGAAACTACTTTGAAAAGGTCTCAACATCCTAAACGTTTCCCATCCGGTCGTCCTTATTTGATCGGTATTTGAGCTCAATGCATAATGTCCGAATATGGAAACTATTTCAAAAATACCTGAACATCCTAAACGTTTCCTATATTGTCGTCGTTATTTGATCTGTATTTGATAGCAATACATCTTGTCGGAACGATGAAACTTCTACAAGATGGGAACAACATTTTGTAAACATTTTTGTTTATTCTTTATCCTATCACACACACACACACACACACACACATACACACACACACGCACATGTATATAAATATAAATATATATATATATATTTTAAATATATATATATATATATATATATATATATATATATATATATATATATATAATTTAAAGAAAAAAACAGACCACTTTAAGGTTCCATTATAGTAATTTATTTCACCAGACCCCTTTTAAGGGACGCTGGATCATCAGATAACACTTCCAGTAATGAAACGAAAGATGAAATGAAAACGACGGGTAGTATTAGGTTTGTGCAATTTAACAGAGAGGGGAGCGAGGAGTGGTGTGAGAGACATGTTCGAGTTTAGAGAGGGTTTATTTTAATATTTCTTTCAATCAGACTTAGTATTGGGGGAGGAGGAGCCAGAACTTCACATATTTAAACGGTTAATTTAACGGCAGTGATATATTGAAATGGGAGTTGGAGAAGAGAGAAAATGAAAAAGGAAAAAAAAGGAAGAAGGGGGAAGTAAAGAGACAGAAGCTGTAATTAGGTGTTTGCGTTATATATATATATATATAGTTAAATTCCCAGATGACATGGAAAATAAAATAATAATAATAATAATAATCACTTACTATAAAGGTAATTTACATTAACCAGAAAAAAGGCTTAGACACAAGCGTCTATCTTTTTAATTTTGAATTTTAATGTAACTATAACAACAAAAAACATTTCGATTTCATTTTTTTTCTTGAAAAAGTCGGAAGACGAAACGCCTCAGCAAAATGTATGATTTTCTTCCAATTGTCATTTGATACCATATATATATATATATATATATATATATATATATATATATATATATATATATATATAAACATAAAACATTAGGCAGCATATGATTTTACATACAAAGAAATAATCACATAGAATTAATCAAGTATTAATGCGATTATTGGCGACATCCATCGCTAGAAAAACATAATATATGCATTAAAAATCCTGTTCATCCATAGTGCGAGTTTTGATCCT